CTGACCGGACTACAAGCCTAGTTACTGCTACTTACTGTTTGTTGGAAAATGACGAAGTCCCAAAGTTACTGTCAGGCGAGAAGTATGCTTATTTAGAGGTCTACATGTAAAGGCTCGCGGCACAGCGGGGCTCGGGGGCATGGGTCCCCCATCTATTTTGAAAAAGTTTATTCAAGAGAAGTGGGGAGAAGTAAGAAAAATAAATTGTGACCTGCCAGTGTCACAAAATAATGAAGTCTTAAAATATGATCAACTGACCGTAATTAAATGAAATTTCGGAGGCTTCACCCTCTTGACCCCACCTAGGGCCCTAAGGCGTGCCCCTGAATGCTTATCTGACAGTTATAAAATGCCTAAAAATCCCTGAGTTTCCGGGGTATCAAAATATGCTCATCTGAACGTAATGAATGCCCCGATAGCCCCTGAGTTTCCTCGGGGGCTCAGCCCCTGGACCCCACGCCAATTAGTGACCTACCCGTGTCATTAATAAGGTATCAAAATATGCTCATCTGAACGTAATGAATGCCCATTGCCCCTGAACTTCCGGAGGCTCCGCCCCTAGACTCCACACCAATTTATGTTCCGCGAGCCTTGACTTGCAGACCTCAAAATAAGCATATTTCTCGCCTGACTGTAATATTCGGAATTCGTCATTTTCCAACAAACTCATAAAACAGTATAATTTACTAAAAAATCATGTCATTTTACGACATTTGTAAATCACTGAAATCGAATTAAAAATGAACCACTTTAGGGGGAGTCTGCCCCCCTTCAAATTAGTACGCCAGTGGTGTCTAGTGGCGTATCTGGCGCTTGGTCTCGTTTGGGGCAGGCGAGATGAGCGCGAAACCATAATTATCTTTTCCCCCTTTTCTTTTCCTCTTACTCTTTATTTTCTTTCCCTTCTTTCCCAGGGATGTTCCGCGAGCCTTGACTTGCAGACCTCAAAATAAGCATATTTCTCGCCTGACTGTAATATTCGGAATTCGTCATTTTCCAACAAACTCATAAAACAGTATAATTTACTAAAAAATCATGTCATTTTACGACATTTGTAAATCACTGAAATCGAATTAAAAATGAACCACTTTAGGGGGAGTCTTCCCCCTTCGAATTAGTACGCCAGTGGTGTCTAGTGGCGTATCTGGCGCTTGGTCTCGTTTGGGGGAGGCGAGATGAGCGCGAAACCATAATTATATTTTCCCCTTTTCTTTTCCTCTTACTCTTTATTTTCTTTCCCTTTCTCTCCTCTTTCCCATTCCCTCCTTCCCTTCTTTCTTTCTCTCTTTCTCTCTCTCTCTCTCTCTTTCTTGCTGAGGGGGGAGGGGGAGACAAGGGCCTTTCGCCCCCGATCCACACCTTGATGGCGGGAAAAATCGCAACTGATCTCCCCTACCTTTCTTCTTCCTCTTTTTTTTCTTTCCCTTTCTCATCTCTTTACCTTCCCCTTCCCTTCCTTCTCTCTTTTTAAAGTTTGCTGGGGGGAGGCAAAGGCCTTTAACCCCCTACCCGAACCACATGTTGTTGGCTGGATTAATTGCATCTGACCCCCCTCCCTTTCTTTTCACCTGTTTCTTTTCTTTTTTCCTTTTTTTGTTCCCTTTAGCTCTCCTCTGTCCTTTTCCTTCCTACTCTCTTTTTTTGTCCCCCCCCCCCTCCCCTGAGGATAAACAAATTGTTGGCGAGAAAATCGTAACTGATAATCCTCCTTCATTACTTTTCTTATTCCTCCCCCCCCCCTTTCATTTGACTCCTCTTCTCTTTTTTTATTTCCCTTTCCTTCCTTCTCTCTTTTTGGGGGGAGAGGGGAGGGGGGCTCGGAGGCAAGGCCCTCAGTCGCCCCCCCCCCGCTGATCTCTTCCCCCCTCTTTTCTTTCCTCTTCTTTCTTTCCTTTATCTCCTCTTTCCCCTTCACTTCTGTTTCTTCTTTCTCTAGCTCTCTCTCTTTTTTGGCGGGGGAGGGGGGGGGGGGGGGAGACCCCTTCGGCCCCCCTGGATCCGTGCCTGGCCGTGGGTGTGTCCCCCATCCAATATGTACTGACCTGAGCAGTTTTGTAATAGCGAACAGGCGCCGTACGTACTGAGCTGAGCAGCTTTGTAACAGCGGACTTGATTGGTTGTCTTAAAATTCAATTTACGAGCGTTCTGCGCATCCGTCTGGCAAAGTAACAGGCGTGTGCTATCGCACCTTGCACGCGCCTGCTAAATAACAGGCGGTGATTGGTCAATTTAGCAGACGTGTGCCGCGTTCCATACGTCTGGGGCACGTGAATAAAGTCACCAACGGCTTTCCATATGATTCCACTCCTTTCTTTCAGCACGTAATCGCATAATACGTAAGCAGTGAGTGCGTAGGCATGCTTGTACAACACGACACGGCGCATATGGGATGCGCTATTTCTCCGAACCGGAAATTAGCTTGGGAAGGTCCGAAATATTTACGCGTTTCAAAACAGCTTTGCGTTTATCATCTCTTAGAACCGTGATTCTGGCTCATAGCGCGTATCAAAACGAACATTTGACGGCGTTTCAATATACACATATAATTATATAGACGTATGAAAACGTGTGTCACAACGGGGTAAACTCAGGTGACCATATTTTGTGTCTAGTTAAGTCTCTCTAATCATCTCACAGAAAGATTTACACAATAAACAAAGAATTCAAATTTTGTTAAGTGTATCAAAGAAAACCATCTCCTTATCTTTATTCCTTTAATTCTTATAACAATAGAAACACATGTATTTTATTTATTTATTAAAACCATCTTTTAACAGGATCTTTTAACATTGATCAGCTCGCAAGCTGTTTTACATAAGGGTCATGCATCATAAGAAAGATGCAGTACGTATAACGATTATATTGATCCAAACCCTGGGATTGTATTCTAATTGGCTGTCACAGAGTAACATATTGACACTAAAATATTTGTAGGTTTATCGTTTTAAAGTCTGGAGTTATTACTTTGGTGATGCAATCACTCCCAAGATGTGAGATTAAAATGGTTGTTCACCCAGAACGAAGAAACCATAGCTTTAACTGTTCCTAAAACTTTATTTGTCCTTGGTTAAAGCTTGACTGCAATGACCACCATAACGAAGGTGTTGCTCCATCTGGTAGCACCTTCAACTCTCCTTAGCAGTTACTGATAGGGATCCACCCAGTTCATTGTGGCATGAAACTTTGATAGAGGACTTTTTATGAAAGTCCTAGCCGGAATACCATCTAGAATTAAATGTTAACCCAAGCTCAAGCGTCTACATGGAATAATACCAAATTATTCATCATATACTTATAGCTTATGACGGGAACTATAATCATCATCGGTAAATACAATACAATACATAACAGAAAAGAAGGCTTCTGTCAGAATGAACTATATTGCATACAAGTATATCCTTCCAAAAGTCGAAAGAGCCTGAATTACTGAGTTTATATCCTGCAAAGTTCAAACATGTACCTCCTATTTATCATTCATAAATGAACTACACTATTTAATAGTGTATAAACAGTGACATTGATTACTTTAGAGACATGATTCCCAGTCTTCATTCTTTATCTCAAATTCAAAGGTTCACTTGTGACCTTGACTCTCTAAATGACAAATAAACACGTGTAATTTATCATTAGGAAAAGGAATACAAATATGAATTCAACTTACAGTTTGACTTGGTTGACTAAATGCAGGGAATCGGGGCAGGCCTCAATGTCGGTCCTAGCGATCTTGATACTCCATGGAACTTAAAGGTAAAGACCAGTATTGGAAACGCCCCAATTTCAAAAAATGAAATGGAAGCTCTCATTACCAATCATGTGAAAGAATATGTTTTGACTAATACATGATGATAAAAAATTTGCCGGGAAACCGCCTACTAATTCATATATTTGGTAAATTTGTTTCTCTCATGGTCTGTGAGAGATATAGGGTAGTCCCATATACATCTTTCTGTGTATAGTGCTTGTAACTTTACGAAGAATGGGCCAAATTTCTTATCATTTTGATGATTCCAGAACCTTGCAGTACACACCAATATCTATATGCTAGATGATCAACCTTTTCTGATCGATTCCACAACGTTTCTTTCACAATGCAATCGCATGACTATAACTAGTCTTTACCTTTAAACTTGAATTATATTTAATTATGTTAAATTATTTTCGTTCAATGTACTTACCTTGTTAGGCGCCTTGAGCATCTCTTGGGGTGGATATGTGCGCATTATAAATGTTGTTATTATTATTATTATTAATGCCATGTTTTGAACTATGAAACTTTAAATTTTAATCACCTTCAACCCATAGGTCCTATTTGTATGACTTCTGTGCAGATAGTTACACTAAACTGCTAGGTAAGGCAACCCACCCACCCATTTGTTTGAGCTATGTAGTGCAGTGGAGCCTACTACCCAATGCATTTAACAAAATTCTTTAATGCACATAACAATAAGCGGGTAGCATTGAAAGGTTGAACCTTAACAACGTGCTTGCGTTTATCAACCGTTGCTGCAAATCAGTGCATGTTACATGCAAATTTGCCCGAATCACGTTTGAAAACACTGTTTATAGGCTAGAAAAGATTTAATAAACGCACCCCATGTTTCACTGAAACAATACCTACAGAAAGACTTCCACACTCCACACTCCTCGAATGAGAACAGCTTTCGCACAACAAACAATTATTTACACCGGTCCAGTATTTTGGAAATATAGATCCATCTCTTAAACAAGGTATCGGTCAAGGTCTATACACATTTTTAAAAAAGTTGAAATTGATTTTTTAACACAATATATGCAAGAATATACGTGCCGTCGCCGGTACTGATACGTCGCTATACATGAATCTCGGTTTGTTTGACTCTCGACTCAATCCCCTTTTCCGTAATTCTACCGATATAACCTCCTTTTTCTAGAGCTTTTGCAATCATTAATTTTTTTATTTTTTTTTTAATCTTTCTTTCTTTTTGCCTTCTACTATTTTCCTCAATTTTTACTTTTCTTTTTAATTTCTTTGGTACATATTTATTTTATTTATTGATTTTTTAAGTATAGTTTGTTCAAGATATAATGTAAAGCTGCATCTCATGAACTAACACTTCAACAAGCTCTGCTTCTATTTAGTTCCTCTTTTCTCGTGCTATTTCTATTTGATATATTTGTCGTTTCACTGTATTTATTTTTGTTATATACTTATTGTATTATGCTTTGCATGAGAAATATAATCATTTGAAGAAAGCTTGAAGAAAGCTTGAAAAACACAGCATCTACAGTCATGTACATACCCTTAAGATTTGGAATTTAGTTTCGAAAGGATTCTTGCTTATTGCCCATTCAAATTCATTATCCACAACATTAAGGAGTTGGCACCTTCGGTTTGGTGAAAAAATGCATGGAGCTTTCATTGCCGTTTCGGTTGTAAGATGCCACATATTTTGAAGTTGTGATTCCAGCCTGCTTTGACCACATCAACGCTTATTTTGGTATATAATGTCGAGAGAGAAATATTGGCGGAATTTTCATAACGGATCGCTGAAACTCCATCGGTTTTCATCCGGATAGTTGCATGGGTATAAAGACAGGTTCTGTAGAGAGGTTGGGAGAGAGAGAGAAAGAGAGAGAGAGAGAGGGGGTTTATTTTTTCACTTATTCATTAATCAATTTATTACCTAAATGTACAAGATAAATGGAATTTCACCATGACAAATAAAACACACTCGCTAAATAGAGCCATCAAATAGTACTAGCTATTCAACTTCCTTCAATATACCATCATTTAACCAGGATAGTAATGGGATAAATAATTAATTTTCGTTTGCACTAATGTTGAAACGTTTCTGTTATAAACAAATATAATTATACATGGAATGATAACGTAACTTAGTCTTCAATTTGGAAGAAGATTCAACATGATGATTAAATATTGGACTAATAATCAAGATTAAAATGGATATTTTTATGAGAATACGAATTAGATTATATTATTTAGCTCGCGCATATTTTTTTACACAACTGTTTAGCCACTTCAGTCAAATATACTGTACAAACGACTAGAGACAGAGTCTAGCATTACCCTTAGCAGTGTTACACAGCGAGTGTACATATACCCGTTATTTGTTTCGGGTTAAATCTATCCTCTCTTCTCTTTCATTATGTATTTATGTGTTCTCCTTCAATCTATCCTCTTCTCTTTTGTCATGTATTTCTTCTTTTTTCTTCAATCTATCTTTTTTCTCCTTCGTTACATATTTCTTTGTTTTTCCCTCAATCTATCCTTTTCTCCTTCGTCATCTATTTCTTTGTTTTAAACTAATAGATTTCCTTTCTCCTTCTTTATGTATTTACCTGTTTTTCCTTAGTATAATTATGATCCTCTTAGCTCTTAAATTATGTATTTCTATGTTCTTCCTTTGACTTATTCTCTTCTCTTTCCTTATGTTTTCCTTGTTTTTACTTCTCCATATCCTCTCCACTATCCTTGTTTTTCCCTTTCTATCATTTCCCCTTCCCTGAATGTACGTGCTTGCACATAGTGCGCTGACAACTTAGACTATTTCACCAGAGCACTTCTTGGAACTTTTTCGTAAAAATGGCTTAACAGTACTGTTGTGTAAAAAAAGATATGCGCGAGCCGCTCTTCCACTACGGGGAACTTCGAAGGCCAGGCACCAGTTTCACATTTATTACAAAATATTAAATTACCGGCAAAATTTCAGTGTAAATTATAAACTTTATTTATTTATTTTATTTATTCATGTTTATTTATTACAATTGGTAAAACAGTGGAGGGTAGTCCGATTCAGTTAAAAGAAACTGCTTTCCAACGGAGCCCTCCAATGGGGATTGTATTGGGAATAATGGGAATAATGCATCAACCAATTTTTCAAATTTGGTACTCCGCCCTTTCTATAATTTGTGTGTCAGAGTTGGTAAAAGAAAAATTAGATCCTGACAAAAACTCAATATTTTAGGATAATGCGCTTATTTTCGCACGTTTTAATCTCCCGTCATTTTAATCCATGATTTACAATCTTCGATAACTTTAATTTTGCTAATGCGTGTTTTCGCGTGTTTTTTTGTATTTTTGCAGTCGGAAAAGGATGAAATTACAAAAGATTGTGCTCGCTTGTTCTACTTATTACACATTCAACAATTGATGAGAAACCATTGAAAAGGACAGCGAACATTTGTTGGGATACCATTTTCTGATGTAGGAATTCTAAATCCTGATATTCCGTGCACTCTTTTATCTCACCACCTGGTCAGCAGTTGCAGATTTAGCGCATAACTTTTCGGCGGCTTGGAGCATGCATGGGGTCAAAGGAGAGCGGCTTGATTCCACTCCTTCCTAAGCTATCACCTCCCTGCTTGATGACTTGATTTCTTGAAAGTCTTTGCGATCATGATACTATTGAAATTGGAATGTTTGATTCTTTTCGTCTGCAAGTTTTGTTTTTGTTCAATGATAATGACAATAACGACAATGATGAATTATAGCAATCATGTACAGTATCGTTTCCACGGTCATAGTCGAGTGGCCTAACATTTAGCGCACTGGCATACCGAGTACATGCATTTACACTTGAATGGATTAATATGTTGCCAAAGGACGTAGTGCTGGGCTGGTATTCGAACCCTCAACCTTTTGATTGAAGTCAATTTAGCGACCCACTATACCACGGCATCTATACACACTGGGACTCACCTTTTTTCACATTTTTCTGTTATCGTTTTCTTCTGATGAGGTAGATCACGGTAATATCCATCTTTTGCTTTGGTGACTTTTAAACTGCTGAATTTTACCCTATTATACAAATCGTCATCCTCGCCGCCCCATCCCCAGTACATGTTAGAGTAGCCGTTAATCTTATCCATTTGCACCCCAGTTAATCCCACGACGCCTCCAAAATCTTGCATGTAGGGGTTGCTATAAAGAATACAAACAAATGAAAGGAAATTAATGCTATAGCATTGCAGGATACAAAATTATTTAGTAATTATTACAATAATATTTGCAGAAGAGGAGCATTAATTAAACCGTTTAAATAAAAATGTTGAATAAACGTTTTTACAATGCGGGTTACAATTACATGTGTATTAAAAAATGGTAGTCACTTTGAAAATGACCTCCAAAATTGTAATTTAATTAAATAGTTACGATATTGGATATTTAAAGCGAACATCCACCGGGAAAGGTACTGGAGACGCTCCACCATAATAACCCCGGCTTTGCTACACAGGCTACCTGTCAGTGTTCACAGCATTCAAGGAATTCCCATTTAATACCTGGGTCACTGGGTGTAGAGTGGCAAAATAAATAATGTAGATTAATGCCTTGCCAAAGAACATTAAAGCCACGGCGGGAATCGAAACGCACGAATCTGCATGAATTTTTCTCATGAAATTATGGGTCAGGCTGTATTAAAGATGCTATGTCCCTTTAGCAGCCAACATCAAATTCTGTAGAACTTTGCAGGAATTATGAATATGTCATGTATGTCCTATCTGTGAAATTTAAACCTGATGCTATAGGAAACCCGTTTACCTTCTAGATTTCACTGTCAGAAACTATCGAGTGACTGATTGACATCACTAAAGCGCAGAATGTCCCCCTATAATAAGTATACCTTTAGCGCTATATCCGATTGAATAGAGCCTCACCCCAAAATTTCATAAGAACAAAATCATGCATATATCATGAAATTATAATTTTGGAGGCTGTTTCGAAGCGTGTGTTTTTTGTTGATACTTACTGCTGAATAATCTAATACTAAAAATTAGGTCTTGTGAAAGACTGTTCACGATAACATTATTAATGTAACATATACATTGTAAACACTAAACCGATAAATAGATGGCAGTTCTTGGTGTTCTGAATTTTGTTCCCTTCATTTTTGACAAAAGGAACTGCATCATATTAATCCTGTCGAAATTAATGTTACTGTATTTCTCTTTAGTGTAAATTCTTACCTATAGTTGAATTCTTCAAGCTTGGTGGCATAGTGTTTGGGGTAGTCATCACACCCGTAGTAGTTCGTAGAATTAATGGGAACATAGTCGACGTCATGAAACACGTAGCAGTCCCAGATTGTTCCACTCAACTTGGCCATCTGATAGCCTATATTCTTCATTAGACCTCGGTTCATTATTTCAGAGAAACCCTAAATATTCATGATGGTAAAAAGAAATATTGATGATTAAACGTCATGGCAGCAACGATACACTCTCAAAGGTTATGTAAAAGAAAACATGTGCGTTTGTTGAGGAATTTTTTTAGCCAGATTAAAATTGTACCCTATATTGGGTACATTTCCCCCCATTTTGAGGTATATTTATACATTACATATTGAGTTGAATTTTCTCCAACAAAATAATGTGGCGTGTTCGTTTTTATCCAATGTTGGTGAAGAATTTACCATACTTATATAGTGTGCTAATATTATGCATGATGGTACTAGAGGATTTTGATATATAGAAGTTAACAAACTAAACATAATTCAATACTTAAAAGTCACCGAAGGATAACTCTGATCTCCACAACATTTTCGTGTTGCTGAATACAACCAATTATCTTTAAAGTCATGATTATTATATCCAAATTTGCTTCATTTTGGAGATGCCGTCATTCCTCAGCCCCATTTGACGTCGATTCAACACTTGTGCTGAATACAAACAAATAAGAAATTCCATTTAATTAACTCATGTGATTCAGATATCTGAGCATCTTATAAAGTTATGACACTTATGAAAATATTTCTTTTCTTCATTTGAATAATTATCTTTGAATGTACCTGTTCCGCGATAAAAATTTGAAACTCCAAATCTTGACTTCGTAAGAAGGGTATTAAGTTCCTCAGAAGGATATTGAGGTTATAACTCCGATTCCGGTAAGGAATGATCAATGCTACCTGTTGATTAAAACAAATTAAAAAAAAAAAAAATCTATTTAAAGTACGATGTTACCAACACCGATGCAATTTATGGCTAAAAACATGAAACTAGAAGGTTATGTTGGCACTTCCCAATTTGCGTTTAATGCATTTAGAAAACGAATATACAGAAAGACGTGAGTACTCTTTTAGGAAGTCCAAGAATAGTCATGACCGGAAATTCCTGATGTGTCTCCGAAATCAATATAGATGTATGAGCCATTCTACCACTTTCTACCACTTCCTTCCACTTTCATATTTTACTCAACGGTTAAATAGTACACTGTCGCTCATATAGTTCCTGATAGATCTAGATGACAGTATACATTCTCAGATTTTATTGAATAATAATTTGCCAGTGTTTGTTTTGCGTGACTGCTGAAGCTTGTTTATGCTACTATGCTTATCAACTAGGGGACCTACGCCCTTAAGTCATAAATGACAGTAATGAGGATTAATGCCCCACAAAAGGGCACTAATATAGCACATCGAAACGGTTGTGATCCTGGGGCCTCACAGTTACGAGGCCCGCCCCCCTCCCACTCCGGGGTCGGAATAACCGCATGCGTGTTACCAAAATGTCCGGTAAAGGGGTACTTTTCACGCATACATACACAAAATTGGCTTAACACACCGGACTTAGGGGGTGTTTTCAAAAGGAGGGAACGCGCATATGCGTACCCTAAATAACACTGAGTGGGGAGGGGGGCGGGTTACGGGGCCATTGCTTTGTCACCGAACCATGACTTTACGCAGCGGGAGCTGTGGTAGGGGGCAGTTCCCACAAATAAAAACAAAAACAAAGACAATGCAATACATTTTCAATAATTTATAACGCTGGCTACATCAGCTACGTTTTGTAGGACTCGTCTGACTTGATGCCTACTGTTGGATTCACTAGAATGCAGACTTTCCATATAATATCCAGTGTAACCATTAACCCCTTAAAGAGTACAAACCTTCCATTTGGCTTTGCAGTTCAGTGGGACCCAGTGCCCTCCAGGAAAGTACAGATAAGAGCCAATCTTTATCCCCATTCCATTCTTTACAGCCTGCTCCAGATCTACTATACGGTTTCGATTGTAAAGATACTTGTTGGCGTCCATTCCATGAACCTTCAGGATCTCTTTCAATTGCTCATCGGCTTGGTGCGTGACATTTCGGGCCTTCTCTGCAAGGTTCTTGAAAACTGTCTTCTCTGTCGTTAGGAAATCAGATTCCGTGATATTGGCGATGTAGTGGGTAGCTGAGACACAGGAATTTATAGATGAAGAGGAAAATAAGAAAATAAGTTGAAGACAAATAATATTTAGAAAGTGTGTCCAGTCAATAAGTTAATAAAAAAAAAGATGTTGGCTTTTTTTTTTTTTTTTTTCGTGTGGGTTATAATACGCGCAGCCAGCCGGCCCGTTAACTGTTATTATTATTCATTCATTCATTAACGGTCACAGTATTTTTTTTTAGGTGGAGCTGAATTGGTATGGTCATATTGGCTAATTTTCACACATTTGGGGGTCTCAATTACCTTTAAAAGCCATTTCAAATTCTAAAAGGGCACTGGAAATGTCATAAATAAGAATAAGAGCAATAACCATGCACTTTGAAGGCGTTTGCGATCTGAAACAAGAACTCAACTAAAGACACAGACACAGATAAAGAGACTGGAGTAGACACACACACACACACACACATGCACGCACGCACGCACGCACGCACGAACACACACACACGCACTCACGCACACACACCCACACATGTAGACCAGTATTATGTTAACGTTTTCTATTCTTACCACTTGAACTTTTGTTGGTTGGGAACGTGCACTCTTTATGTTGTGATGAATAGAAAAGAAAAACAGATAAAATGACTAACAGAACAAGATTTTAATGAGTCACTGGGCGATATTTCTTTTTTTAGACATTCTGATTCTGTCAGTCCCGTTTGCCCATAATAAAAGCAGCAATATTCTTCATTTTACACGATATATGTATTTCACTCTCTTCTGGACAGTATATTCATTCGAAAAGGGTCCCAAACCCTTACCAGACTTGCCTCCCAGGTTCTCTGCATAATCATTTATATCATACTTATGTGGGTAAATGTCTTGCCAAAGGACGTTAGTGCCGGGCCGGGATTCGAACTCTCAACCCTTGGACCGAGAGTCAAGTGAGTGAACCCCTATACCACGACACCTCCACAGGTATAGAGATTCTCTTGATTATTCTGGACTGCACCGTGATATTGAGGAAAGGTGCTAAAGAACCTTATTTTACAAATTAGATGTTCTACTACCGAACTCTCTTTGAGTTGTAAATACGGGACTTGGTTTGGAGCCAATGATGGTTATAATCTGCAACATTTTTGCTAAGATAGTAGTACATAATACCTCTTATTTGTTTTACTATGTCCTAAGTTTTTTCAAACAAATTAAGTTAAAGTAAAATTACTGTGAAGAACACTTACTCTTGTATTCTAAGACAAATAATTTCACGGGGAAATATCAATTTTGTTTTCAGATAGGAACTGAAAGGGATGATTCAAGGCTATTCATGGGCATGACGGAATCTTGTGACTCGTATCATAGGATGAAGTGACCCTTGGACAGCTCTCTTGCTGTTTTAGATGTCTCGTTGATTGTAAACCATACGCTCTCATTAATAATTAAAACAATATTCTTGAGACTTGGATGAAGCTTGAAAGATGAAGGGCGGTTGTAGATACAATGTTCTCGAAAAAATTGAGTAGGCTTAAATTATAATTGTTGGTGGAAAGCGCTTTATAAGCACCGTTTTGTTAAAATTATTATTATTCTATATTTCTAGGTTAGGACATGAACTGCCCTCTACGAGTGTGCCGTCTGTATATTTTGTATATTCTTTGTATGGGTATATATACTTCATGTGTGGTCAAATTATGTGTTTATGTTTGTATGTGTTTTGATAACTGAAACAAAAGAAGCAGATAATAATGTTCTTCTGGATATATACGGTCACGAGCGTGTTGGTCTATGAATAAACTTGGTGAATATACTTCACGTGTGGTAATATATATGTATGTGTATATATATATATATATATATATATGTTTTGATAAATTAAATAAAAGAAGTAGATAGCAAAACTGACAATGAAACTAAAATCTCGAGGACGTTGTTGATGTTGGTGAGTTCAGCGTTGAATGGCAATCAGTCAAATTTGACTATTATCACCAATATTTTATTTTACTTTTTAGTAGGAACTTTTATTATAAAAAATAATTCACCTCTCTCTTTTTTCATATTTTTTTCTTTTGAGTATTCCTTTCTGTTTTGTCGGGGTCCTTCATTACTATTTTGTTTGATTAATTTTTATAGTATCATGCCAGGTGACCAAATCCTATCCTTTCTTATTCGGCACCATTCTGACAAACCCGCTCTTATGATACCTAATACTAAGTCGCTCAGGTGCGGAACAGGGCGACTCCCTATGGGATACCTTCATCTGATAATCAAAGGAAAATATATTGGGTGTGAACTGAAAGTAGACCCTTCCAGAGGAAATTGGTTGCACTGGTTGTATTGTCTTATACATGAGACCTGGGAAGGGTTTCGATAAATTGCAACTATAAAAGATATGAGACTGCAAACCTGCGATTGATTTGGATCAATCGTAACTCTTTATAAGACTGGGCTAGGTAATACATACCTTGACTGGATACCATGTGCACGAATTTAATACGTAGAAGGGAATGGAGGTTTGGGATGACGTTCTGTGGGAGAGCTCGTTCTTCCTTCAGTCGACGTAGCTCTGAATCTGCAAGTAAGACAATTATTTAGTTACAAAAAATAATAAATAATGATGAAGATGGCTGAGATGCTGATGATGATGAGGATGATGATGATGATGATGATGATGATGATAATCACAACAATAAGGAGAGTAATTGGAATAGTAATATTAAACAATGATAAAACAGTAATAATATTAATGATAAAAAATAATTACAATAATAGTAATATTTATTTTAAAAATAATGATAATAATAATAATACTCTTTTAATTTTGTTATGCAAAGATGACGAATATGTGTGGGGTCGTGTGAAGACTTGACCAAACACAATATGTTTATCTGCACTTGGCACCAGGGGCGTACGCAGGATTTTTTCGAGGGGGGGGGGGGTTTAAATTTGAATTTTGCAACGACTCAGCCAGCCGCTGAATAAGCGGGGGGGGGGGGTAAGCACATTTTTTAATTTAAAAAAAATTGAGGGGGGGGGGTTCTGTTTGTTTAAATTAATGCTTGCATTTCCATATTTTGATTAAACTAATTCGTTTTCACTGACTGCCTGCCGTATCAATAATAAACAGAGTTGAGAAAAGACTTAACTCCGTTTCGTAGACGATCAGCCATGCATCAAGTCTTTCGTCTTCTTTGTGCATGGCTGACCGTCAATGATATACTTACCATTTAATACGACTAAGGGTGTTTCTTCGATGTGAACATTCACGTCGTCATAGTCAGAGCTCATCATCGAGTAGTACAAAGCGACGACGACGACGACTGAAAGGGCGATGAATAGCCGAAATAGCTTCGTGTTCATGTTGCTTGCACCAGCAACAAAGGATAGAGCCCTGCAAATATACTGGTAACCAAAATAAATCAAGAACTTAGTTTTCAAAATGTAGAGAGGGAACGGATTCAGGGAAATGAAAGTAGCTTTGACTTATAGAGAGGTAGTGAATGAGGTAGAAAAAGTCAAAACGATTTCAAATTTAACGTGTTTCCTATACGCTTGCTAATCCACTTTCATAATACAAGATAATTGGTGCATTTTAGTTTAATGTTTCCTTTTTACGCCCCGAGAATTCCACTTCATTTCGTCATCCCACCCGTCGAGGCAAATAATCTGGTTTCAGGCCAAATTGATGATAATAGAAATAACTGGACGATTATCATGCCTAAACCATCCCACCCCCCCAAAAAAAAAATGATAAAAATAAAGAAATGATAAAATAAAATAAATGATTAAGTAAAATCAAAATAAAACAATCGCTATGCGAACATGTGCATTGGAATTTAAAGCAATAAGTATAACAAATAAAACAAGTTTCGTCCGGGATAATTATGAAGGGATGAGGTGGGGATTTCCAGCTACCAGTGATATTGTTTACATACATGTATGTATTTGACATTATCATTAATATTTCATTCACAGGTTGCAGGACTTATAGCTTCAAAAAGGTTTAAAATAAATAAGTAGTGGCAGGTATTTGTTTTATAAATGTCTCTGATGTTGAAATAACATGTAAGAACATGTACAAAGTAAGCACGTTGTATTTGCAAATGAACTTTAACAAATATTTTAGTGTAAAAGTATTCCAAAAGAATAGTCCCATCATTATGGTGACTTTATAGCACATAAACCATGCAATATTTCAGGGCATGTATGTGCATCGTGGGCGTGGCACATATACATGTATGGTTGGTCAAGTGAGAAATCTTATTTTCATTTAAAGTTAAATACTCGTTCTTTGTTTGAAAAATAAAACTTTTATATTTCAAAACGTTGGTCACATGTGAACACTACGTTGATCGGCATTGATGACCAAATTAAATAATCACCGTAGTCGTCCATGAAATGTACATGTAAAATAAATTTGTGAAAATGCAGCCTTTTTCGGGTATAGCAACTAACCAAACTTGTTTTTCTTTTTCTTCTTCAAGTTAAGACATCTGACATGCACCCTTTTATTTAAGATGATTTGGTAATCAAAGTTTGATGTGGTACATTACTGCCGATGTTGCTGTGATCTGATTTGTCTCTACTTTGTGTGATGAAAGGTCAAATAATGCTTCACAAACAAATAGTAAACGAACCTGAAGAAGAAGAATATAAGTTACTGTTCATAGTTTAATTTCTTTTGGTTTAATTGCAAAAAGAATTGAATTGAATTGAATCTATTCACCATTTTCATAAAAACATGCAATGTCAAAGAATACAATAAAATATTTCTTACAAACAAAGATAAGCCAATTAAATAGAAAATACACTAAAGGAAATTACGAAGTGGTTGGATTAGCAAAAAAGTTACAGTAACTTATGATCCTAAAAAGTAAAACACAAACATAAAAGGGACAAATAAATAATACAATAATACACTAGTAATTACACACATTAAAAAGCGTGGTTGTCAAATTCAAAGCTTCTGTATAATATCAGGTGAAGTTTTAGAATAAGCTTTAAACTGTTTAAAGATGCACACTGTTTAAGTTTTGGTGGTAATTTGTTCCAGATAATTGGACCTTGGCCTAAAAAGATTCAATAGAGAGCCTTTACCACTTTGAGCAGCGGTCAGGCGCGTACGCAGGGGGGGGGGGGGTTGGGGGGTTGAACCCCCCTTTGATTTTTTTTATGTGTGTAAACCCCCCTAAAAAAAACCTAAAAACCCGCCCCCCTCCCCCTTTGGGTTTTTTTTTTTTTTTTTTTTAATTATAAAAAAAAAATTATGCACATGGCTGACCTAAAAAGGTGACCTTACCCTCCCCCCCCCCCCCCCCACCCACTGAGCGACTTTTCGGCTGGCTGAGTCGTTGCGATTTTTTTTTTGGAGTCCAAAAAAAAAAAAAAAAGTCATGTTTGCATGTATCTTTTACCAAAACCATCGTATTAGAATTGAACCTAAATTTAATCCGTAATTTTGACCCCAAACCTATACCTATCGCTGTAACGTTATAGGATAAAACCCTATAGTTATAGCTATAAATCATCAATAATGTAACACTCTATATTTTGCAATGATAATGACGATTGTTCCTGATGGCGTATTTTCGAGTGTCACTTATCCGCACACAGTCAAATAAAACAAAGGAGATAGTGCTCTCTACTTTGAAAGATAGTTTATTAAAATAAACAATGTGTGTTATAATGAGTAACAATATAATAAGTATGGAGATTAACTTATGACTAGCAGCTCCTCTCTCGAAGGTAGAGAGGACCTGGTAAGAGAGCTGATTTTACTCCAGCATCCCTTTTTATACCTTTTCGGAGAGTCCCAGCAATGGTCTGTCATGCAACATTTTCATACCATATTTGGACATGGTCAATGTTTATGAATTAAACATTAACACTCATGAATTAAACATTACTACTCATGAATTAAACATAAAGCCTTCATGACCATAAATGGTCTTGGTCAAGTGCTATTTCTGACTAGAAAGTGGGATGACATATTATAATGGAATGTGCTGATCTTGCATTTATTTACACTACTAAGAAACTACTGTTTTAAAGGGTGCTGTGTTATTAAGGGAATGAAGGGATTGTAATATTGGGTCTTACATATAGTTACCTCTACCGAAAAGAAACGTCCTCGTTTAAAAAAATTCAGAGGCGATAGCATTGACATGTAAACACTTATAAATATACAAAATAAAATGTTATTCGCAGTTACAGGCGAATAATACACCGAATTGCGGTCTATGGCTGTAAATAGTGTAATTTATCCAAAGTATTTACCAAAGCAGCGTTAAAATCTAAAATACCATAACTTCAAATTCAATGTGAATAGAAAAGAATACAAAAGTTGTCCGTCGTAGCCCCAAAAATATGTAAAATACATCTCAAATGTCATTACGAATAGATATACATAGATAATATTAAAAACTAAACATACACGTTATTAGCGCCGTTACCAGAATTTTGCGAAATGGATGTAAAACCGGCACGATAAGCAAAACCAATCTACCCAATATTCTAAAACATAAAAATAAAATGCCTTACATATAATCGGTATAGAGATTACCTACAAAATGCCAAAATGACAGAAAAAATACTACACGTATACAAAATCACTAAACACGAGTCAACAAAATGTGAGGCGGAGCATAAAACGCATCAATAATTGTTATAAGAATGAACAAATCTTAGTAAGAAACAGGACATCCATAGTATTTAGGCGGAGTTATGGTCCTGCCACTACGTGTTCTAACACCCGGGTCATGATTACGGGCATGGCCATCAGACGATGGGGTAGGAGGGGGTAGGACAAAGTCAATGTCAGGAGGTTTGGTGACGGGTTCAGGAAACATTATGTTAGGTGCTGTTGGAGGGATAGTCCAAATGTTGGTAGACGGTTGGGGATCTTGGGAAGGGGAAGAAGGTGAAGGGGCTTCAGAATGCCCAAGAGATGTCGGGGGTGAAGGAGGAGAAGGAGGGGGAAGGTATGGTTTCAGCCGATTATAGTGTATAACCTTTATGGGTGAGGAAGGAGATGAAGGATTAGATAGGTGATATAGAATGCCTTTATCGTCTGCACTGACAACACGATAAGGGCCCTTCCATTGTGCAGCCAATTTATTACGTGACATTGTAGGGTCCGACATCCAAACAAGGTCATCTTGTTTGTAAGGAGTGAACCGGGTCTTCGAGTCGTAATACTTCTTTTGACTTTCACGTGCATGACATGCATGAGTAGATGCAGCGTCAAAGGCAAAATCAATGCGACGCAGTAAATTATTGGCATAATCGTCCGGCGAAGAGAGAGAAGTGGGTGGGGAAAGGATAGAGAGAGGGAGGCGTGCTTCTCGTCCATGCACAAGGAAAAAAGGGGTATAGCCTGTGGAAGAGTGGGGTGTCGTGTTATAGGAAAGTTCTACTTGGCCCAGTACGTGATCCCAAGAGGATTCAGCTTCGGACAGCCTTTTACCTAGTTCACGCTTCAACGTGCGGTTGAAACGTTCCACCATCCCGTCTGATTGGGGATGGTATGGGGTAGTGCGTGTCTTCCTTATCCCCATTCTCTGGCAAAGGGTTTGGATAACCTGTGCCTCAAACTGGCGCCCCTGGTCAGTGTGAAGACTTTCAGGGATTCCATGCTGACGAACAAACTTATCAAACAGACAATCGGCAACTGTGCATGCCTTCTGATCGGGCAATGGGAAAAGGTTAACTTGGTAAAGTAGTCCATAACCACCAGGACGTAACGATTTCCATTAGCAGTGAGGGGGAGTTCCGTGAGGTCAGCAGCAATCCGTTGAAAAGGACGGGAGGAGGGAATGGGTTGCAAGGGAGCCTTGAGTGTAGGGGTTGGGTTCCTACGCTCCTGACACTGCATGTACACATCGTGTGCAGAAATCAGTGATATCACGCCGCATTCCTTTCCAGTAACACAGCTTATTAGCTTTCTCAATAGCCTTTGCCGCCCCGAAATGGCCCGACAAGGGGGAGCCATGTAACAATGGTAGGACGTGCGGGACTAGCGACTTAGGAATTACTACTTGCTGGACAGGAGGGTCAGAAGAAGCTAGGGTCACTGACTCTACAAAGCAGTCCATCCTGCATGACAAAACTGCTAAGATCTGAATGGTACTTACGAAGGGTTAGATCTGAACTAGGAATGGAAGACTGTGGTGGTGGCTGACGTGAGCGTATCCATGATATAACCTCCTGGAGGCAGGGATCCTGGTGCTGAGCCTGGTGGAGGCGAAACCCATCTTTGACCAGCAAAGAACAAAGATCAGAACTATCACACGGGGATACAAAGTCTACACACTCCTGAGGGCCATGTAAGGATGATGGTATGGAGTCCTGAGTTGGAGACAGTATAGTACTAGGAGGAGAAAGAAG